TTCATCTAGGGCAGAGATTACAAAGCCTGATGAATACCTGGGAATCCAGACTCTATGTCAGGGCTGCTGGAGCCGGTAGAGGTGGGAGTAGGCAGACCCTCCTATGGGAAGTACCTGGAGGAGTTAGCGGGAGCCATGCAGTGTGCTTTCTTCTGGCTGTCCCAGCCATTCAGATCAGCAGAGAAACACAGTCATGCCTCCGAATCAATATTTTGTAGGATCCTTTATAAAATGTCAAGACCCCAAGTGAGTTCCAGAAAACCAGATTTCTTTATCAAGAAATATCGAGGATGGAGAGTTGTTCTTATTTGAAGGGAACAGGGTAGAAATCATTCGAGTGACCCAGAGAGAGACTGTCATTCTGTGACGCCTTTCTTATGAAAATAATTTAAGATAAACAGATCAGCCCAGCTGGCATGGCTCAGGGGCTGAGCATTGACCTATAAACTAGGAGGTCAAGGTTTGATTCCCGGTCATGGCACATGCCTGGGTTGGGGCTCGATTCTCAGTAGGGGCATGCAGGAGGCAGCCAATCAATGATTTTTCTCTCATCATTGATGTTTCTCTCTTGCTCCTTTCCTCCCTCTCTGAAAGCAAGAAAAATATATTAAAAAGGTAAACAGATCAATGGGTGTCTGCCACACTATTGTGAATCAGAATGCAATTTCAATCCTGTTCAGATAAATAAATGTGGGGCATAGTCAATAGAGCAGAGTGTGTTGGTTGCCATGATTTTTTAAAAAATTGAGCTACAAAGAGATAATCAGCATAAATATCAAACTGACATGAATTACAGGACCTGATTGGTGGGCCTGCAGAGGGAATTGGGCTATTGGGCTATCACATTGCTTAACATTTTCTGAAGCCAGGGCATATGTGAAGGAGGCCTCACGAAGGACTGCGAATTCTCAAATTTGTTCTTCTCCAAGACTATCTCTCGCGAGGAGAGTAGAGTAGTTGACATCATCAGAAAAAGTTTGTTGTAATTGTCGAACCATTTCCTATAATTGCTTTCTTAGCCCTGAGGTTGGATTTTAAAGCTGGAATGATGAATTTTTCAGACTATATTATTTTCATATTCCGAGTGCGTACCTCATGCAAATTGACTTTCTTATAGCCTCTCCCTGACCTTTTCCTCATTGAGCGAAATTAAATTGTACAGTGAGCCTGTTTGGGAGGAGTCTCGGTGGGGAAAATGGCTCTTCTGCTCCATTCAGGTTTAAGAGAGAAGCTTTTAGCATTGCAAGTCACCAACCCCATTACATAATGAAATACAAACCTAGGTAATAGGTAAAAAACAAAACCAAACCAAAACTAAATCATTTTGTTTGTGAACAGAAAATACACAACCTGCCGTTTTATTTAAATGAAATGAAAACATTTTGTTTGCTCAGAATGAAAAGGAAATAGCAAGGTTGAAGATGTTAGCACACCGCAGTAAGATGTTGCAGGCAGGAAAAAAATAAGTGCCTGCAACAATTCGCTCTTCATATTTTCAGGATCTGAGGGTCCTTTTTATACCATATGCTGGCATATTTGACATCCCCCCGCTCCCGGCTGCTTGAAATTGGGGAGACATGTATTGGGAGAAAGGTATTCTGCTTCTGTAAGTAATCTGAATAGCCTCAATCTGTGCTTCCAATAACATATTCATAGTTTAAGAAAGAAACACACACAAACAGTCTTGGATACCTCCATACAAAAAAGATAAATATTTTTTGGCATGCAGTCCCAAATAATAAACGACTTTCTGTTTTATCTGAGGGTGTTGCAGGGTAGTTTTATACCTGTCAGTGTCTGAGGAAAATCTAACTGCAGGCTGTGTATTTTCTGTTCACGGAATCTCAGCCGCCTCCTAAAATTCACTGTAACCTTCTGAGCACGGTGGCATGGGTGCCTGGCATACTAAAGAAGGAAATCTTTGGGCTTCCCCTGTGCCATTTATTTTAGATTCACACCGCGTCTTATTTTCAAAACTCTGAAATCATATTACACGGATTTGACTCCCTTTATCCAAAGATCCTGATTCGATTTTCGTATGAAAGTGTTCCCGAACATAATGGTATGCATGGGATCAAAAATAGAAGGATGGGTGTTTATTTTTGCACCCAGAAAACAGGTTTGTGCGTAAGCCAGGTTTAAGGGGACCGCACCTACAAAGCGAGCGTTTATGGAATAATCTCCATAAACCACTACTTGGTTTAGGAAGCCTAGCGTCTGAGAGAGAAAAATAATCCCGTCTGCAAAATAACTCGAGACTCGATGGATATTTTAGAAATTTTAATTTTAAAAGATGCAGCATATGAAGTAGTAAAACTGTCAAGCTTGTTGACTTCGGGGCTTGTAAAGTAAAAACAAACAGATTCCATAATCATTTAATGAAGTCTATAACTCGGTTACATGGTTACATACAACATATTAATATATGTACACCATTTTTTCTTAATTCTCTGATTCTCCCCCTGCCCTACACACCACCATGCCCCCACTCCCTATTTCTGTCAAAGCCTACACATTTTTTTCTATGCGATTCATTCTTTTGGTATGATTTTCAATGCCATGTTGAGTAGCATAATTAGAAATTTTTAAAAAGGGTATATTCATAAAAATCTTGCAAATTTATCATTGAGGTGTTACATTTGATATCTGAATCCTTTTCACCCCTCCTTCTCATTGAAGTCAAGTCTGGTCTGAATCATCACTTATACTTGGAAGAGACCTGAGCAAACAACCCAGTTTATATCTTGGCCAAAGACTCAGCCTTAAAACATAGGAAACAAAAATTAACCTCTATAATCAATTTCAGTTTTCACTTTTTAGAATATTAATTTTAACCAGTCTCAGTCATTCCTGCATTTATTTTTTATAGGTATATTATTATCTTGGAAGCGACTAGAAAGTATTAAAATGAATCAGTAGGGGTTTTTATAAAACAAAAGAACAAATCTACAGCTCCAATTAAGTCTTTTAAAAATTATCTAACTAAATATCTAAAAATTAAGGTAGCTTCTATTTTAAAATGAATTTTAAGAGATCAACTCATTTAATATGTAATGCAGATCTTGAGTATAAAAGCCAGCTAGAGCTATCTATACTTAGTATTTTTAATATTGAGTATTTATCAAATGTACAATTTTAATATAAAACTAATTAAGTATATCAGTCCTTAAAAAAATCTGGAAGCCTGGAACTGTTACATTTATATGTGTGCATTTATGACTACAATTTAAACTCATTTAGAAATTATGGCTACCATATTTAGATACTATCCCAGTAATAATAGTTCATTTTCCCTCCACAAAATAAAATGAGCGGAACTTCCAGTGCTCCAAATATTACATTCAATTAAATTGTAGTATCTTTAGCATTTTATATATACAGTAAAATTAAAACAATTGATTCTAAAATATAGCTTATATTTCTTTCAATAATGATGGATATGCATGTGTGTATTCACTACACATATTATTAACACCAGCAAATTACACTTGAAAAAAAGAACCTAGTTTCATGTTGAATTCTGATTTAAGGTTTAATTTCCAGTAAAACAAGCAATATGACTTTTCTTTTTTTGACAGGTCAGTATATTTGATATACTCACCTGATATTGTATTTTATGAGATTCCTGATACTTAGTAGGCATAATCAATTACTCTGCTGTGATAACTATGTAATGCCACCTTTAGAGATGCATTTTCTGACTCAGGCATTCTCTGGGGGCCCCTATCTACATCAGAGCTTCTGTGTGAAAAATTGAAAATGAAGATACCTTTTCCTTTTTTAAGGCAGACACTGATTTTGCTGGAACACATGCAATAGCATTTTCAGTACTCAGGGATTAAAAAATACTTCTTTTCACATGAATTTTTTTAGAACACAATATTTAGTGATTTTATTGATTTTATTTCTCTCCAATTACTTTTTATCTGTTATTTGTAATCCTAATTTTTAAATCAAAATCCTTTGCAAAGTATAAATATTGCCTGTTCATATTACCTGTAACATCTGCCTAGGGGTTTCCCTTTATGAGGGATAAATAGCATGCTGTGACAGAGCAATTATACTTCCTAGACTGAAGAATAATTATAATTTTTATTTATCTCTTAAAAATCAAGCTGTTTATATAGACCTATTTATGTGTAGGTGCGACACCCTGAAAACTTCTTTCACCTAAAATTCTTGACAAAATAGCCACCTGGAGAAGAAGAAAAATAAAAAATAAATAAAAAAGAAGAAAACATGTTTTAAATTGGCTAACAAAAAGTAAATAACAAACTCAATTTTAAAGTTCTTGTTGCCTTCATAATCATGTGATTTTTAAAAAGTGAATATGTTTATTATATTTCACAATAGATGGGCTTAGGAGTTATATCTACATATGTAAAAGCCTAAGCGACTGGCTGACCAGCCAACTAGCCAACTGGCTGGTAGCTATGATGTGCAATGACCACTAGGGGGCAGACTCTCTGACTGGTAGCTATGACGCACACTGACCATGCAGGAGCTGCCAAGCTGCAGTGATTTAGCACCTGCAGTTTTTGAATCTGGAGCCTGATTCTGGGGTGGATCACCTGAGAACTGCCCTCTTGCAATCCAGGACCCCTCAGGGAGACCCAATTTCGGCCCAATTGCTAGGCCAGGCTGAGGGACCCCACCGCTGCACAAGCACCGGGCCTCTGATAAATAAAATTTTATGGGTTGAATCTTGATCTTTTAATGAATTTACCTCATCGTTTCAGGTGTCATATGTATTATTTTTTGGTTGATAGTTATTTATCAGTGTCTGTTCACATCTGCTTTTCTGATTATGTGTGGAATGAAGTCAAATGAAAGGTGTGACTGGCAGATACAGTATTTTTAGAATAAACATTTTGACTTACATTCTTAAAATCCTTTTACATGCCATATTTTACTTAAACGATGCACCCATTTGTTCACCTAGGCTATCTTAGAGGCAGATGTACAATCTCAGCCCCCAAATTGAGCAAAATTCATTTTCTTTAAAACCAAATGGAAACATCTGACTTCACGTCCTTGAATTCGTTGTAGGTGAAGGAACGAGACCGCCTTCTCAGATTGGAGGGTCTCTGAGGTCTTCCTTCTGTCAAGTTGGCATACATGTCAGACTTCAGGAACCGCGTGTAGCTGTCTTGTTCCATCAGCTGATACACTCTGCTCTGAGCAGCGTCAAAACTGTGCAGGGTGGGCTGGGTGATGCTCTTCATGATGAGTTCTTTGGTGTGAAAATCAAGGTTAACCTGGATCGTAATTTCACAAAAGGATGGTTAGGGCCCATCGATGGAAGTAAACACCTTTGAGAAACAGTCCAAGACTTTTCTCCTTCGCTCTGTCATGAAAGGGATTCATTAGTGTCAGGAAAACTGGGGGGATAGACTCTGTCCTTGTGACCCTCAGGTTTATGACCCGATCACCTGTCTCACTCACCTCCCACATTCACAATGGTTTTCTTTTTTTTTTTTTTTTCCTTTAAAAAAATATATTTTATTGATTTTTTATAGAGGGGAAGGAAGAGGGATAGAGAGTTAGAAACATCGATGAGAGAGAATCATTGATCAGCTGCCTCTGTACACCCCCTACTGGGGATGTGCCTGCAACCAAGTTACATGCCCTTGACCGGAATCGAACCCAGGACCTTTCAATCCATAGGCCGACGCTCTATCCACTGAGCCAAACCGGTTTTGGCTCATAATGGTTTCTTAAAGAACTTCACTTAAACACTACGGGGAGGAACTAGGGGAGCATATGTGAAATATACTTGTTTTTTTCCTCTGTGACTCCAAAGTAAGATTTCATTTCAGGAAAGATTATTGCCAGTCTGTGTGGTTAAAATTGTTTGCCCTCTTGTTTTTTTAAAAAATGAAAACACTTGAGGGGGTCAATGGGAGAAAAAAGGGGGCATATGCAATACTTTCATCATAAAGATTTAAAAAAAATTTTTTAAGAAATGAAATCACTGGATTTAACAGTTTGCTTCTAATAAAAACTTTTTTTTTCAACTGGAGCAATACAATCGATATATTTTCAATTGGATATTTTTAAAACAAGGGCTAGCAAATATCCTTCAATCGTGTTTTATAAGTACAAGACTATACTCAGTGTTGGAGTGCGCATGTGTTTAGGTGCTTAGGTGTTCAGCCTGTCACGGGCCTAGGGGTTCAGTGATTGACTCTTGGGTGGCATCCCATCTGGCATCTTTCAATGCTGCTGGAACCTTGTAATAATGGAACCTTGTAGAATAATGGAACCTTGTAATAGTGAGTACCATAGAGGTCATTAGGTCCCACTCATTTTCAATCGTTAATAAAACAGTGTTCTTGCCAAAACCGGTTTGCTCAGTGGATAGAGCATCGGCCTGCAGACTGAAAGGTCATAGGTTCAATTCCGGTCAAGGGCATGTACCTTGGTTGTGGGCACATCTCCAGTAGGGGGTGTGTAAGAGACAGCTGATCGATGTTTCTTTCTCATAGATGTTTCTAGCTCTCTATCTCTCTCCTTTCCTCTCTGTAAAAAAATCAATAAAATACATTAAAAAAAATTAAAATAAATAAAACAATGTTCAGTGATGGCCAGCAGGGAGTTTAGAGCCTATTTGGGATTTCAAAGTGGGGCTTTTGTTTTATCCCAGCCCTTGTTTTCATCCTATCATGATGCTTTCCTACAAGCACACGTGTGCTGAAAACGAATACATGAATATTTAAAAAATGTAAGTCACTGAATGCTTTTTATCAAAGCGCCACTGACATATCAGGTTCTGATTGGGTGAGTTTTCAGGGGTGTCTTTCCTTTTCCTGGTTAACACCTGACACCTAGCTGCCTTTATTTGGTCTCTGTATAAGGTTGGTCCTGGGACAATCAGAGTCATGCATTGAACCACGGAACAGAATGAAGCATACTGAAGCATGGAAATCATTATTTTTGGTGTGCACCTCAGGGCCCATACACATTTGTAGTCAAGTAGCATTCTTAGCACTATAGACTACTAGCTCTACCCTTTCAGCGAAGAAACACTATTTATTGTACACATAATAAAAACATAGACATTTTACTGAATTCATATTGAGGATAGGTAATATTTGCCATTTTTTAGCAGTTGTGTCGCACAATTATCTCACACTGAGCTTGCAGTCAAAGGCAATTACGATTGTGTTGCCAAATTATGCTTCCCTCATCTATTACGATTTTTTTTTTTTTTTGGTCTATCATAGGAGGAGGAATAATCATTTTGGGGCAAATAAAAGTTTGTATAGGTAGATGAGCTAAAGTGGTGCATGGTACCAACTTCTTGATTTCTCGCGCCTTCATCTTTTATTTCTATGAGAGTTTGCTTATGCTAAGGCAAGCATGTCAAACTCACAGCCCGGGGGCCACATGTGGCCCACAACAAATAAATTTTGTGGCCCAGCCAATATAACCGTATGTAAGGAACGTTTTGATAAAAATTTCATAACTTAATTTTTACAATATCCTATTAGACATCATTATTAATAACGAGCTACAGTGTTCTCTAATGACTGATTCCTCTAATCCTATTGCATTCATTTCCCTTATGCACCTTACACGCCGGTGCACCATTTCTCTACACTAATACTAGCAGCGAATATTTTAGCAGCCGATGGCCACGTCATTCGTCTTGTACTGACTTGTTTGGAGTGAGCAACAGGAAATATTTCACTTTCAAAGAGCAAGAAGAATAGGTTTACTTGCGTTACGCTTGCTAATTTGTGCAGTTATTCAGTGTCTGGTAAGTTAACATTCAAGGAAAAAATTAATTTTTATTAAAATGTTCTATTATTTTCTGTTAATGGTTACTCATTTTATTTCATCCCTTTGTATTCAGCATGTCTCTATTAAAATAAATTTCTATGAAAATAGAAGCCTTTTTTTTGCAGTCCACATACTCTTAAACCTTGTTTATTTGGCTCATTGTGAGCCTTTGACTTTGACATGTTCGTGCTAAGCTGATAAATATGAATAAGTGATTGAATCTCAGTGTTACAAGTAACTGTGTTCACTCTTAGTCTAGAATCAAATAACCCAAGGAGTGACTTTGGTTATACCTTTCCTCCCCTGACAATGTCTTACAACACTTTCTGTTTGAGCTAGAAATCTAAAAAGATCCATTCTGCTTCAGCAAACCCTGGCCTTTCTGGTGGAATGTATGTGGGGAGGCGCCAATTTGATGAAGGCAGATTCTCTCCCCAAATGATCGAACAGTTGTACATTTTCCCAAGTATGTTTACCTCTTGTGGGGCATCGTTCTGGATAAACTTCTCATATATTGCTTTTGCTTTCAAGATCATTTGTTGGGGGTCCTTGCTTTTCTTGAAGTCTTCGCAGGCCATCCAGAATTCAATGTTTTCCTCGCTGAATTCGGTTCTAAGAAACTGGGTAAAAGTCTCCAGTCCATCTACCAAGAAAGGAAGTGACATATTTTAACTGTAAAATATTAATGCGGAGAAAATGCACTCCCTGCTATCAAAGTATAGCCAGAAACATGAACAGAACAGCTCGCCCTTCTCAAAGGCAGCACAGCAACCCACATCCTAAACAGTATCCAGGAGGGACGCCATAGAAATTAGTTGTAATCTTTACAGCTGTGAAAAGGAGGTATCATTCCTGTTGAAATGCGGCTGGGCTCATACTTAGACCTAAGTAAGAGTGACCCCCACTCTGGAACTTGATTAGGGTCTGTTTCAGTCATGCCTCTTCCCGTGTGTGTGTGTGTGTGTGTGTGTGTGTGTGTGTGTTTGTGTGACTCTATAGAGCCAAGAAGCCATTCCACCAGCACCCCTTTCCCCCTTCTAGACCATACCCTGGTACCCAGGACTCTGGATATCGCTGTTTAAAACTCTTTTTCCAGGGGTTGTCTGCTCAACTCATTTTCACTTATATCCATTTCTTTTAATTAATTATTGACTTTTTTCCGGGGGTGGGAGGGAAGAGAGAGACATCAGTTTGTTGTTCCACTTATTTATGCATTCATTGGTTGATTCTTTTTTAAAATATATATATTTTATTGTTTTTTTTACAGAGAGGAAGGGAGAGGGATAGAAAGTTAGAAACATCGATGAGAGAGAAATATCAATCAGCTGTCTCCTGCACAACCCCTGCTGGGGATGTACCCGCAACCAAGGTACATGCCCTTGACTAGAATTGAACTTGGGACCCTTGAGTCTGTAGGCTGACGCTCTATCCACTGAGGCAAACCTGTTAGGGCCATTGGTTGATTCTTGTTTGTGCCCTGATCAGAGATTGAACCCACAGCCTTGGCATATCACCTTATCAGGACGATACTCTAACCCAGCGGTCGGCAAACTCATCAGTCCACAGAGCCAAATATCAACAGTACGACAATTGAAATTTCTTTTGAGAGCCAAATTTTTTAAACGTAAACTTCTTCTAATGCCACTTCTTCAAAATAGACTCGTCCAGTATTCAAGGGGCCAAAGAACCTTACGTGGCTCGCAAGTCTCAGTTTGCCAACCACTGCTCTAAACAACCGAGCTACCTAGCCAGGGCTCTATTCACTTCCTAGGTTCACTACCCACTAGGACTATTTCTCATGGTCAGTGACTATTTGTAACATAAACAGTTCAATACAGAACGAAAGAAGAAGAATAACTCTCATTTGGTAGAATTGTGGCAGTCACTAAGGATTTTGCATTGATAACACGTGGAGAGGTTTTGATGAAGGCAGATTCTCTCTAAGGGTTGTTTATATGCCTTTCTGCATTTAATTTTTTACAACGATGAAGGCTAAGGGTTGTTTATACCCTTTCTGCATTTAATTTTTACAACGATGCCTGGAATACACCCCAGGCTCACTGTCATTGACAAGGAAACTGCGTTTCAGATACGTCCAGTGGCCCCGGGTCTTACTTTTCCAGCAAACGAAGACCATTAGAAATGGACACAGTGACGACCCCCTTAAGGGCTGATCTCCAGAACCTGTGAGTGTGACTGCACAGGGGAACGGGCTGTGCTGCTGGGATCAGGACAAAGGAGCTCGAGAAGGGAGAGAGCATGTGAGGGTCCCAAGTGGATCCAGTCGGATCACAGGGTCTTTAAGAGCAGAAGTTGGAAGGGCAGGTCAGAGAGACGCAATGTGGGGAGGGCCACTGCGGGCCGTAAAGGTAAAAGACGGTCATAAGCCAGGGAATGCCAGGGGATGCGGGGGTGTGGAGGGGTTCCTGGAAGGAGGAAGTGGCCCTCGGTTTAGAGCCAGCAAGAGAATGGAAAGCTTCATCCAAATTCTCAAAAAACGGAATTCTGGCACAAACCCCCAAATTACCCTGGAAGGGATTCTCCCCTGGACCCTCCATGAAGGACCCCGGCCTGTGGACCCCTTGGTTTCTTTTCAGTGAGGCCCAGCATGCTCTTCGGACCCACAGGACGGTAATTTAGTGAATTTGCCCTGTTTTAAGTCACTCAAGTTGTGAGAAATTGTAACAGCAGCCACGGGACATGAATACAACCCTCTGACGGTGCTTTCCACACCCCCATTTCTCTCTCCTGCTTATAGAGCTGGCCCTCTTGTTAGGAAGCTGTTTTATTTTATTCTTTCAATGTTGTGGGCAACCTTTTGAATGTCTGAGAGATCCAGGAACGTCCTGTTGGGGAAACCAGCAGTGAGAAGTGATGCGATGACCTCTAGGCGTCGCCTAACCCTCAGATGCGATATGGCTCCAACTCTCACCTCAATGAGTGCCACCTGGGTGTGTTCATTGGCACGAGGGGAATGCGGGCATGTCTCTTCCCAGTAAATTGGCCCAGAGCACCAGCTGGTGGTGATTAAATGCTGACAAAGGAACCAGGAAAACAAGCAACGTCACGTTCAAGAAGACGTGCAGAAGTCATGGTGCGTCTGGACCACGACTTGGGACGTGTCTCCGTCCTCAGATGTCTGTGGTGTGGTCCTTCTTGGCCCAATGCGACCGTCATACAGAGGCCACCGTGCTCTGCGCTTCCTGAACGGATGGACACAGTCTCGCCTCGGAGCAGAAGCCAGAGGAGTGGTCAGCATGCCTAATGGTTAGCTTGTTCTTGTTTGTCCAGCTTAGAGCTTGATCTTCAAGATGAGTTTCTTAAGCTAAGTCTGGGGCTTTATCTCAGAAGGTGGCAGGAAACAGGAGTGGACAAATGATTCTTTGAAGATTTTTTTTTTTACTATTATTTTTATATATTTTTTTATTTTTTGGCCTTTTCATTTTTATTTTGTTTTGTTTGTTTGTTTTTTATTTTTCCCATAACCATTTATCCCCTTGATGCCTTCTACCCCCTCTCCCACCCCCCAAAACCACTCTGTTATACTTTGAAAACTTGGACAGAGAGAAGATTCCTCCCCCACAAATACTTAGGAATGTATGGACTTCGGGATAAAGTGAATGACCTGGTTCTGTTGCTAGTGTTTTTTAAACCAAAATCTCTGCCACGATGAACAGTATAGGAGTCAGACGCGTGGGTTTGATGAGGGTTTGTTCTCACAGCAAAGTTACAGGATCGTTGGCTTTTGGGTGTTCTATCTGGTTTCCTTCCCCACGATTCCTTCCACCCTCTGTATCTCTGTATCTGAACTTGGGAACAAAAGCTGAAAGTCACTGCTGCTGTTATTTGAGATGAGGTTCCTTTAATGATGGAAAATATGGCAGCACCTCTCCTGGCCTGGATCCTGGGGCCGGGGACTTCAGAGATGGCGGCAGGAGCATCCGGGGCCACTGGCTGGTAATGGTTTGAAAACTTCCTCCTCTTCTATTTCTGCGACAGGAAGGTGGTTGTGTTGCACCATGGCTGGTTTCATTGCTGTCTTTCTCCCCTTCCTCCTCTTTCTCTAATGATTCTGGAAGGAAACCAGAGACGAAGGCAAACCAAGCCTTTCAGCCTCTAATTCAAAGCTGAGGTAACAGTTCGAAAGGTGGGCAGCCTCTAGGCTACCAGCGGAGGGTGTGACCCACACTGGAGTTCCCTTTTGCCATCATAATTTAGCTCCGAGGTCCATTTATAGTTGAAGGTGGATTTTACTTATGTTTATCCGTAGGAGATGAAGGAATTGGGTGTTTGTTATGGGAGAGCTTGATTCGGAAATTTTAATTTTGCAGAACACGGGAATCCCTTATCTCGCAGAAAGTCGGTAACTAAAAAAAATGGGGAAGAGCAACTGCAAAGCCACTAGCTGAACAGCGTAAGGAGAAGTAGCCCTTTCCTTCCCCAAAAGAGAAGTGCTCCTTTCCTTGTAGCCTTTCCTCTCAGCATCAGCGATAAGTATTTTCTGCAGTCTAATTAGTTCATGTTTTTAGATCAAGTGGTGCAATGACGTACATCTTTTTCTTTTCTTTTTCCATTATCCTCAGAATTAAGCTTAGTAGGACGACAGTTCAGGGTGCAAAGAGTCTAAGCAAATAGTCATTAAGTATAAAGGTTAAAATATTGGAATTATTCATCAGGAGCAGGGAAAGGGGGTGCATGGGGAAATAGCTATGTAGTTGTCAGAAGATTGTTTTCTTGATGGGGACCCCTCCTAGGAGATAACCTTCTCCTCCTCACCTTCAGTTGTCAGCTGTGTGAGAGGGTTAGAGAATCTAGGTGTGATCGAACTGTCTTCCACCTTCTAGGGCTTAGGTGTTGGCCTCAAAACCCCAGCAAAACTTCTGAGGTTTCCAGCAATTAAGTTCAAACTCTGATAACCTGATATCATCTCACAGATACTGTTCTGCCTCCATTCCTCATCTATAAAAGGCACTGCCACCTTCCTCTTAATATGGAATAAAATGTGGGGATCTTTTTAATGTTTTCTTTTCATCTCATATTTATTTTTTTTAAAAAAAAACATATGTTTCTTGATTTCAGAGAGGGAGAGACAGAGAGAGAGAGAGAGAAACATCGATGATGAGAGAATAATTGCCTCATGCACGTCCCACATTGGACGTCCCATGTTTGGAGACAGAGCCTGCAACTCTGGCACGTGTCCTAATTGGGAATCAAACTGTGACCTCCTGGTTCACAGGTTGATGCTCAACCACTGAGCCACGTGGGCTGGGATCATCTCTTATTTCGTCATCCCCTCCCTTTAGGACAGAGGCTCACATACAGTGAGTCACCGAGTCCATCCATTTGCTTCCCAAGACAGCCCTTCCCTTGAGGGTAGGTTTTGTGTTTGTGACAGCCTCAGAGGTGGTCCCTGTGACATGCATGGAATTCCAGCTCTCCACCCATCAGGTTGCTGCCTAGCAAACGTTTTCCAGGTCAGCACCCATCCTGATTCCCTGTGTGGGTGTCACTGCTCTGCCCAGGGAATTGAGCTGCTTGCTTTGCCAGTTGCACCAAAACATCCATTTCTCAGCCCTGTCCTATGCCTTTTTCTCTGCTCAACGTTTCCTTTTCTTTCGGCTGTTGAAGTCTCGCACGCATCTG